TCCTCGCCTGATATTTCGCCCTAGGAACATACCAGAGTGGCCGGCCTATTATCAAGATTACGAGCTTCGCGACAAAGTTTACGGTGATATCCTCCAAGCAACGACCTCGCCGTTTCTCGCTTAAAGGTAGCGATGGTAGAGACTATCAATACCTTCTGAAAGGTTTGTTAGTGGCCCTCTCGCATAGAACGCCCATTCTGACAGTGATTCAGGACATGAGGATCTCCGCCAAGACGAGAGAGTGATGCAACTCTTTAGCTTGGTCAACACATTACTTTCTATTGATACAAACAGCTACAAACGTCGGCTGCACATTCAACGATACTCTGTCATCCCTTTGGCTCCGAACGCAGGCCTATTAGGATGGGTGCAAGACAGCGACACTTTACATGTCCTTGTACGGGACTATCGCGATTCTCGGAAAGTCCTACTAAACATTGAGTATCGCTTGATGCTGCAGGTGAGGTGTTGATTTTGAATGAGGATGCAAGAGTCCCGCTAATACCGTTGCTCAGATGGCACCTGACTACGAGAATCTCATCCTCCTCCAGAAAGTAGAAGTGTTCGAGTATGCCCTTGAAAACACCACAGGCCAGGATCTCTACCGGGTGCTCTGGTTAAAGAGTGCAAACTCCGAGCATTGGTTGGAGCGCCGCGCCACATATACCCGGTCGCTGGCTGTGAACAGCATGGTCGGTCACATCCTAGGTCTCGGGGATCGCCACCCTTCCAATATCCTGCTTGAACGCAAGACGGGCAAAGTTGTACACATCGACTTCGGCGACTGTTTTGAAGTGGCTATGCATCGTGAAAAATTCCCAGAGAAGATCCCTTTCCGCCTAACGAGAATGCTTACGCATGCTATGGAGGTAAAGCTTTTTGATGGTCGTAATATTACTAGAAGTTGACTTGTCTCTAGGTCAGTGGGATTGAAGGAAGTTTCAGGAACACTTGCGAGATCACAATGCAAGTACTTCGTGACAACAAGGAGTCGCTCATGGCCGTTTTGGAAGCTTTCGTTTATGACCCTCTCATCAACTGGAGGCTGATGCAGCACGATGTCGAAGGTCGCCGTGGAGAAGGTATGGATGCTGTGTCCTTCCAGTATCTCTCCTAATATCCGCCCTCCCCATCTTCAGAAAACAGTAGCGATCCTGCCCGTGTGGCTGAACTAGCTCGGGTGACTGCTTATCCACAAGGTCCAACCCGGAAATTAAAGGCAGATGAAAATGACATCTTCAATGGTATGCCCGCATTTCTCAACCTCCTTCCATCCTCATGTCCACTCGACAGAGACTATCGGCGAGCCTGGAGCAAAACAGGAAGTGCGCAACGAGCGGGCATTGTTTGTGTACAATCGAGTACAGAACAAGCTCACAGGTAATATGCTCTGCTTCTCCGCAATTTGTTTCTGTTTTCATCGGTTTTGCCTCTCCTAGGCCGCGACTTCACCCCGGACGTCGTCCTCACTGTGCCAGCTCAGGTGGACAAGTTGATTTTGCAGGCGACATCGCTTGAAAACCTGTGTCAATGCTTCTCTGGCTGGTACGTAATATCCGTCATGATTGTTCCAGCATCAATCTGATCTCGAGCAGGTGTGCATTCTGGTGATTTGACAAGGACTATGGATGTAGACGTGGACTTCCTTTTGTATAGTACCCATAGTGTAATATCCAGCAGTAGGAAAGGCCTCAAACAATTTTATAGCTTTTAAAAGACTATCATTCACCGGCCTGGTGGTCTAGTAGTATGATTCCTTCTTAGGGCGTTCAGTCAATTGGAGGAGGTCCCGGGTTCAATTCCCGGCCAGGCCCTAATCAAGTGGCATATTGATCATTTTGTTCTCTTCGTCTTTTTTTGAACTTTTACCATGATTATCCATGGCGAAGATCCTGTGAGTACTACCCACAACGCGGAGCACTCCAGATGCACTGAAACGCCAGACATCGATTGATATATTTCTGGCGCATAGATACATGAGTCAAGAAGGACCCACACAAGCATGTCTAAGTAACCCTACCCAGCCCTCACGCGGTGGACTGGTTTAATTTCCATTGGCGGTCCGACACGCGAGTGGTCTGAGGATGCTTTGACGACGATGAATGCCAAATCCTGCCCAAAAAAATGACAGAGGGGCAAATGAGAAGTTAACGTCAGGGGTTACAGTTGCAGATACTCACAATGACGAGTGAAGAAAAGCTCAAGAACGTAAAATCGCGCTTTGGAGAACAGATCACCTCGGATTGTAAGGCCGCGTAGAGGCTTGATGCTTCTTCGTAGCGTTGGTCGGCAGAGTTATCGCCATGTACCTGCTTTAAGTTGAGCTACGACTTGATACCGCGGTATGCAGCGGATGGATACCCAGTAAATTGCCTCCGTCAGCCATATATCTTCTTTGCGGACACCAATCTGATAGAGTCTCGTGATGAGTCGAACGAAAGGATCGACGCGGATAGAAAGGCACTGACCATGATGACCTGCGGGGGTCCTCAGATGAAGGGTATCAAGCCGCTGGGGGGGGCTAGTGAAATATTGCCCAAGCTCGGGCAGCCCTCCAGCGCGTGGACGGTGAGCTTGGTCAAAATATTACAAGCGAAGGCGTGTACGATTCCAGCCAAGCAACATGACAGGCGGAAATGACTGCCGTCAACCAAGTGGAGCAAGAAGAAATCGATTGAAAAATGGACATTTATTGGCTGTCGGAGATGTAGGACGCAGGAGGCGGCGAGGCTGCGGAGTGAGGAATTTAGCCTTCGAGGTGATCGACAGGAATCCTGAAAGGGGACCTGTCCATTTTCTGCGCAAAAAGTCCCGTCGGTAGACGCCTTGATGGTGGAACTAGTCCCAGTCAGACCTGAACTTGGTCGATCGCGATGCTCGCCACAGCTGCCATCAACAGGATACCCATCTGGCCGCCCCAACACTCACAGTCGCAAGGCTCCCCCTTGGGTTTGGTTTCCATCGCCAACTCCACGAGCCTACACAACCCAGTGGCCACGAGGTGTCCCTGGGGGCTGAGGTGAATCACTCGTAAAGCAAGCCTGGAGATCGACGGGCGCTACATATCCTCGCGGAAATTTGGCTCAAGCCTGCAGCCGTAGCACCTGACCGTGGATTATTTGGATATCTATCCTCCACCGCCTTGAGGGTACTGTCGCCACGCAAGCGATTAACCCATAAAAGAAGAAACAAGGGGTAGTGGGAAATCGGTCCATCCTATCCATGTGATGTTTCCCCTCGACGTCCCTTACGCCATTGTTTCATAACTGTCTCTGGTGGCCCGCCTACCTTCAGGTCTGTGAAGTTGATGTGGAGTTTCAAAGCTCCTGTACGACAATGCGGATCCTGGCCCACATTTATTAGCTCCGGGCAATACCAAGAAGGGCGACCGAGAAACCTTACTCTTGGCCGACGATAAGTACTTGGTCCCCTTTGTCCATCCCTCAATCGCAGACCCTGAAAGATGGAATTGAGTTAATACTAGGTCCTTAAGCTTCTAGCGGATGTACTCACCCGCACCGTCGCTCAAAGCCTCTGCTGGGGTTAGCCTACCCATCACACCGCCTACACCAACCCAGCGCCCTCAATCCGGAGATCTTGTACTTAATCGAGGAACGGCAGGCACACCAGGAGAAGTTTCAAGCTCGAAAAGATCACTATAGTCGCCAACGATCGCGTCAATATAACAAAATTGTAGGTGTATACGATGCAGCCATCGTGATCCAGATCGAAACCTTCTGCTGGCGATGAGAAGGATCCTTTACCGAGTGGTCCGTACGTAACCCAGGATTCGGATCGTCGTTCCAAGTTCTCAACCTGGTTCTCAACCACCCGAGACTTCAAGCTTCATGGTACCTCCTTATACCCCATCAGGTTTGCCCTGGCTTTCGGAGCACTCCTGATCGAGGTGAACCTGTATTCCTCTTTCAATAACCTTCAAAGCCACACAACCTTATCGAATACCCACCAGCCGCCTCACTACACAAGGAAGTGGGGGTTATCCGCGTCAAGGTCCCCGTCAACATCAACAACTCGCCCTCTACTATGTTTCCCCCCTTCGTATCTACCTCTCAACCTTGCGCGGCCCACCTCTCGGCGCACTCGCAGGACTTCTGGTCAATACACGCCCAGTCTGCATTTTGGATGGTATTGAAGACAGGGTCGCCCTCCTCAACTACTCCATACCAAGTCCAAACATGCATATGATAGTTTATAACAATACATTTATCATTGCACTTTCGCTATCCCTCGACTCCCAACACTCTAACCAGCTCGGACTCAACTACACATTCCTTCATCAACTGTGAGAGTTGTAATTCACCACTAAGTATCGGTTGCCATCGCTCTCAACAGCACTGCGAGGGAGTCGGAATTGACTCGGACGGCGAGGGATATCAGACAATCAAAGTGATTACAGCCAGAGGAGACTTCTCCAGTCATACAATCTAATCACAACAAAAAAAGTATTTAAAAAAACATCAACAACGAAAATCGTCCTTCGTCGAACCCACAAAAACAATCATCACCAGATCCCCTACCCTCGATACCTACCCGTACTACTCTTACTCCGTCCATACCGTCTTTCCATCTCCCTCGCCCTCATCCGCTGCTCCCTCACACTAATCATCATATCTCGCGCCACAGGTGACAGCTCTGAGGACGATGCAGTAGAGGGTCGATCAGGGACTTGTAGAGCAGAACGAGTCCGCATGGGTGTCATGGGCGGAAGGTCTCCTAACTGTTTAGTATTCATAATTGTGCCTAGGAAACAAATCGTTCATTAAGATGCACAGATCAAAATAAGTCGCGAAATAGATATACTCACGGATATGACGCCTGGTCGTAGGAACGTTCTCAGGTGACGGTGTGTTTTCCTTATCGTATCGCTGTCCTACAACGTCCAACCGTTGTTGACCTAGTTGGTTCTGCGTTGTAGAAGAGAGTTTCGACGTCGAGGCATAATTGGTATGCAACTCCTTCACCTCGGACCGTCGATGCGAAGGACGACGCGGCATCTTCGTGAAAATATCACTCGACTCCGACAAATCCTCAATAGTCTCCATCCTCCTCTTAACATCCGCTTGCAACTGCGTCGGCACGGATTTGAGCGGTGGGCGAGGACCGCGAGGAATTCGACTACTCGCATTCGAGTTCGATTTAGAAATGGAAACAGACGGCTGATGTGAATCGTAAATGGAAGACATGTCGAATGCAGCTGGGTTGAGAATGGTAGACATGGAGATCGTATCTGGTTCTGCTTCTTGAGAAGTGGGGAAAATCTGAAGCTGGGTATCATCATGGAGGGGTATCGCAATATCGGGAGATTCGGATCGAGAAGGTAAACTCTCCGACTCGGAGGAGGTTGATTGTAAAGTGCTTCCTGTGGATGAAGGAATGAGAGGAGGAAGTGGTTTTTCCTCGGGTGGAGGTGGAGGCGCCAACGGTGCGCTGGGTTTTCGTTTTTCGGTCAGGAATCCGAAAACTTGAGAAGCTGGAAGAGGGGTCTTCGGATCCGCAAGACGAGCACCATCATGTGAATCTTGGGAAGTCTCGGTTTCAGAGCTTAGTTCTACTCTCAATGAAGATATAGAAGGGTAGTTTTCGGATCCGTTCATGGCGTCTGAAAGATCGTGGGTCGTAGAGAATGAATTGTTCATGGTCGTGTGGTGGAAAGGAGGGTGGGGTAAGAGAGGGTTGAATGTCATGTCGAAAGTCGCAGATAATGCGGATTGCAAGGACGTCGTGCTCTGGGCTCCTTCCCTATAATCATGAAGCAGTTCAGTATCAATCCATTCACATGACAGATGCCACCCACTCTAGGAAACGCTCAGCCCATGAGATATCACCTTCAAATGTTTCATCGTGTTCATTTGAAGAAGGTTCGCCAAGAAGTTGACGAAGCGTCGACCCCGTCCGTTTAACCTGTTCCCGCCCAACACCACGATCACGATCTTCAATGTGATTTTCAGGAGGTGTATTCGAAAAGGCCTGTGAACTAACTCGTCCGTCTTCATCGTACCAGTTCAACAAACTGGCAACTGAAGGATCACGACGAAGCGCTGATAACCTGTTCTTATCTCGTGGTGTGACGGGAACATCCTTGGGATTGACTGGCTTTCGCCGCACTCTTCTTCGAGGAGTCTTCGCATCGTCGTCCTCAGCGGGTTTAGGAGGGGTGGAGAACTCGGCGGGTTTAAGGACTTCACGACCGTGGACGGTAACAACGTAAGTTCCTGAACGTTGTACGGCGGCAGAGCGGGGAGGAGGAGTAGCGCAGGGTGTAGTTGTGAGACTGTTAATGGGATGGGCTAAATTTGGAATCAGACCGAGAAACCAAGGAAAGGAAGTGAACTGGGCGACTCACGCAAGGGTGGCATAGATGTATAGTCTAGCTCTGTAACGACAGAAAAATGAGCGGAAGAGGAGCGCAGTAAGCGACTGGCAGCATCCTCCGGGTCCTGCTCTAGTTGGAGTCCTCGCCGAGTCTGCTCATAAGGTTGAGCAAACTCCACGTCGAATTCGGGAGGAGTAGACTTTTTGCCGTTCTTCTTGCCCTTTCTGCTAGCGATGGAGAAAAAACGCTGAAAGAAACCCATTGCAGCTGTCGTGATCCTTGCAGGGGAGTGCTTGAGATATTATCGTAGGGACCGCGATAGAATATATCTGAGAACAACGGAAAGGATGCAAGTCACTTGGTCTCCTTGGTAAATCACGAACCACGACCAAATAGCCGACAACAACGCGTCGCGTTCGTGACGTAATAATGTGACACTCCACCAGATGATGTGACAGTGTGATGCTAAATTTCCGATAG